GGATAAATGTATTTACTTCACAGAGCAATTCTGCAGATTATCTAAATGACTTTGACCATATGTAGCAGCACATGAAATATTTATAGCTAAGTAGAGAACTAAAATGTAAAGGATTAGTAGGAGACATAAGCTGTCAGAGTAGATGAATATCTTCTAAGTGAATAGACTCTACAAGCCTACAGCTTTATATATATATATACGTATATATATTTAGTCCCATTTGTTTCTGAGCTTCCTTTTGTATTAACATTTTGAAAATTTTTGAGAATATTTTTTCCAAACCTAAGAAAAATAAGTTATAATGAATAATTTATTTGTTAAAATTCTTTTAGTTTGCCAGTTCATGGCTTGTCTATGAAGTACTGGTATTTTTGCAGAAATGCATTATTGATTTAAAAAGTGTCATTAGGTGTTCTTGTGATATTTTATTACAAAAAAGTTGATGCTCTTTGGAAATATGATTGTGGTACTTTTCTGATGATGAAGGGTCTAAAGGGCAAGACATATGTGGAGTGGCTGAGGTCACTTGGATTGTTCAGCCTAGAGAAGAGGAAACTGAGGGGAGACCTCATGATGGCCTGCAGCTTCCTCATGAGTGGGAGCAGAGGGACAGGCGATGATCTTTGCTCTCTGGTGCCCAGCAAAAGGACCCAAAAGAACAGCATGGTACTGTGACGGGAGGATCAGGTTGGATGTTAGGAAAAGGTTCTTCACTGAGAAGGTGGATGGGCACTGGAACAGCTTCCCCAGGGCAGTGGTCACAGCACCAAGCCTGATGGAGTTCAAGAAGCATTTGGACAATGATTTCAGACATATGGTTTGATTTTGGGGTGGTCCTGTGTGGAGCCAGGAGCTGAACTTGATAATCTTTGAGCCCCTTCCAACTCAGGATATTCTGTGATTCTAATGTTATATTTGAAGACTCTTCTTTACACATTACTTAAATTCTTCGTTTTTGATAGTTCACTGGAGTATGTTCATGAAAATTAGGGATACACAATAAACACACAGGGATAAATACATAGGGATACATAATAAATAATAAATATAAATAATACATAATATACATAATAAATAATAAATACACAGGGATACATAATAAATTCAAAGTAAATTCAAAATGTTTAATAAACTGCCCATGAAGTTTTTGTTTGCTTGTTTGTTTGATTGATTTTGTTTTGTTTTTTGTTTTCCTGACTCAAATTTAATGATGAAAGCATCCCTGAAACATACTGTGGTTTCTTGGAAAAATGAGAAAAGTTGTTCTTGATTTAGATTTTTTACTAAGTGACTACTTCTGGAAATCTTTTGTGAAAAACCAAATGTGTTCAGATTCTGCTTTATGGTTCATTGGTACATTATACAGTCCAGATTTTTTAACAAGGAGTACAATCATCCATGTTGTATTTCTTTGCTCATTTTTTTTTCATTTAATTTGTTATGATATTCAAATTTCTACAAGCAGATGAGTTTTTCCCCTTTCTCCTGAGCCAGCTAGGACAAAGAAAAGCATACATTTGACATGAGGTTTTATATGCTGTTTTAAATGAAAACTTTTTTAACATTAATTTACAAATAGAGAAATACACACTTGCAGGTATGCTGGTGAAGATATTTATACAAGTATTTAGTTATTCAAGAGAGCATAGATAGGCAAGCAAACCATAATCCTAACATACTTTGCCTTGCATGCTATCAGGTCTTGGTATAAAGTCAGTTGTTTACTACACGTGTACAGGTAAGGATACAAAGGTTAAGTTATTATTAGGTGGCTTATATTGTTAGCTCCTTTCATTTCCTCAGTGCTTTGCCAAGTATGCAGCAAGCCCTGTAAGAGTAGAATCCTTTTAGGACTCCTTGGAGTCATTTTTAAGGCTTGACTAGGAACAGATACTGGGAAGGAAAAAAAAAAAAAAAAAAAAAAAAGGAATTCTGACTTGCAGTGGTAGAAATAAGATAAGGAAATACTTTCTTAGAAAATAGTGCATAAGCCTTTCTCTCCTGTTGTATAAAATATGACTGAAAACTGTGGTAGGCCTGAATTCCCTTTGAGGACAAAAGATCTCCACGCTACTCACATTGGTGGTAGCTGACATGGTACATTCTTCAGCACTTCATGGCTGCGAAGCTCCTTGCTTAAATTGAGGCCAGATATATTGTGCTCCTCACCCCACACCTTGTCCTGTGCTGCATGTCCCATGCAGTGCTACAGCCTTGGGGGAGAGTGGCTGGAAAGCTGTGCAGAGGAAAAGGATTTGGGGGTGCTAATTGAGGCTCACCTGAACATGAGCCAGCAGTGTGCCCAGGTGGTCAAAAGGCTGATGGCATCCTGGCTTACCAGGGAGGTGATTGTCCCCCTGCTCTGGTGAGGCCGCACCTCAAGTACTGTGTTCATTCTTGGGCCCCTCACCACAAGAAAGACATTGAGGTACTGGAGTAAGTTCCAGAAGAGGGCTACAAAACTGGTGAAGGGCCTGGAACACAAGTCCTATGAGGAGCGGCTGAGGGAACTGGGGTTGTTTAATCTCAAGAAGAGGAGGCTCAGGGGAGACCTTATTGCTCTGTACAACTACCTGAAAGGAAGTAGTGGGGAGCTGGGTGTCAGCCTCTTCTCACAAATAACTAGTGACAGGATTAGAGGGAATGGCCTCAAGATGCACTGGGGATGACAATGTCAATGGGTGACATTGTTAGTAGGATGATGGTTGGACTAGATGATCTTGGAGTTCTTTTCCAACCTTTATGATTCTATGTATCCTTTCAATTAATTGTAGTTCTAAAAGTACAACAAGACAAAAATGCAATAGCTATTTCTGGAATAACTAAAAAGTCCTTTTAAAGACCTCTCCAACAAATCCACTGTACTTGCATGATATTTAAAAAAAAATACATTGGTCAATGAAAGCCAAGAGAAAATTGTAACCAGAGCATCATCCTTTTGGAAAGTTTAATTTGAAATCCTAAAGAAAATTAAATATTACACTGATTAGGTAGCTTTTTTATTCTCCCATTTTATCTCTTCTTGGACTGCAACTTAACTGTGGAATGCCAGGTGCCGCTGTAATGGGAAAAGCTGCAAAGATTCATGCATAGCATTTCCTCTGCATGTACTGTGTAAGTTTATTAGCTTCAAGGTTCCTTTTCAATGTTCACAAGTCAGGGTAGGATGAGAGCATACTCCATTAACAGAGATAAAGAATCCTTCCTCAAAAGTGGCATCAAAATTAAAAATGCTTTTTTACTGGTGACTGACGTCACCAGTTAATTCCCCCTTTCCCAGGTATACATGTACAATGAAAATCTCTGAAGATTAGATTTAATTTATGAGTTGAAGTCCATAGAGGTGGTTTCTTTGCCACTCTTGCAGCAGCTTTGGAGATATATTAGTATTTATAATGTATATAATATAATAGTGTTTATAATTTCTCTTTATCTACTGTTCTTGCACTGATGTGGTGGTTTCACCGTATTCTTTGTCCTGCACTTCTATAAGAGAGTGGAGTCATTGCTTCATAGTACCTCCTCATAACTCTTCTCCTGCAGAAACAAGAATTTTTAAATATGTCTGTGCCATTTCAGACTCACCACAGGAAGTTATGCTTAGTTAAGCATACCATAAAGATAGAAGCACAGCACAACTCTGTGTGATTACTGGTAGTTGCAACAGTTCCCTAGCAGTAGCAGAGGGATCAGGTGAAAAATATGAATTATTAAATAAGTATCATCCAAGATGATTGACAATCTGAGACACCTGGGGAAAAAAATAAAAATAAAAATAAAAATAAAAGGTTAATTTTTAACCGAGTATGTTTTCATCAAAGTGGAAATTTAATTAAAGGGTGAGTTTAGAGAACACAATAAATCAAAACTGTGGACACATAAATGAGATAATAATATTTTTTTAATTTATTTTTCAACCTTTCACAGATGAACTGGAGGGATCCATACCATCTCTTTTTTTCAGATTATGTTGTATTATTTCGATTACAGATTTAACATTTTACACTATTACCTTTAAATCAACCAACCAACCCACCAAAAAAAAAAAAAAAAAAAAGGAATAAGGAAAAGGAAGTATTGTTCTGATATTGCAGATGTAGAACTGAAAACAGAGGATAAAATTACTTTGAGTGACAACAAATTGTGGTAAAAAAAGAGAAATTTAATCATTTAATGCAAGTCTTCTGTGACAAAGAGACAAAACTAACCAGTAAAGCGAGGCTTTACAAAAACGCCAAGTATTGCATTTTAATACCGAGTTGAATGTAGTCTGGAGTAGTGGTAGGACTGAAACATGTTTGTTTATTTACATGTCAGGTTAAAATTAAGCCCAATAAGATAGTTTCAACACTCTTCTTTGAATTCCAACAATCACTTTGTGTTTGCTTGTCATCCTGATGAAATAAGCACACATTGGGAAAAAGGAACATTTATGAGAGTAAAAAAAGAAGTAGATAAATGTGAGATGCAAGATAAACAGGAAAGTACAAGAGTTAAGCTGTCTGTCTTTGAGTTATTTGAGTTACAGCTAGAAAATTCTTTGTTTCAGCAAAATCAGCAAAATACCTAAACTTCTGTATAAATGTGATAGCAAATACTGAAAATGAGACAATGAAACATAAAAGTTTTAGGAAAGTTTCATTACAAAACCATTTACTATGCTTTTTTTTTTTTCTTTTTTTCCTGTATTAAATGTAATGAAATGTAACCTTTACTGTGTTTCATTAAAACCTGGAAAATCAATTTCTTGTTCAATAAATTCAGAAATACTGAGAAATTGGTTCAAGACTAATTAAAATATGAGCAAGATAATTACAATTGAGGCTTAGAAACTACCCTAAGAGTGAAGGGAAAGAACAGTACCTGAATACACCATCTGAGATTTTGAAAAGTTCCTGCCTTTTCAATTATGTACACATCTGTTAACTTTGGGGGAAGAAGTGAAAATCAAGAGTAATGCTGTTGTCTAAAGACTAATATCATGATGCTATATATTCCAGATCTGTTGCAGAAGCCACAGAGGTTGATCTCAACATGAGAGTTGGATTACATACAGGAAGGGTACTTTGTGGGGTCCTGGGTCTCCGAAAATGGCAATACGATGTCTGGTCAAATGATGTGACTTTAGCCAATGTAATGGAAGCTGGAGGGTTGCCTGGGTAAGTATGAGGAACAAAACAAACAAACAAACAAACAAAAATATATATAAAGAATCAGATACCTGTATAGGTGAGGAATTTATTTCCTTTGCAGAATGTGCAACATAATCACTATTGATAAAAAAGATTAAGGGTTTTGTACAGTAGGAGTAATCATTGCATTATATGATGTCCGCTGTGGAATTGTCCAAATGATCTTAAGATTCATGTTAGTAAATAGATCAGATTAGAAGTAAAATGTTGAAAAGAAAAAGAAGAAGAAAAAAGGATTTATCTTAAACATGCACATATACTTACAGCCATTCCATGAAGCACGTCCTAGAATTTGAAGTACTCCTTGGGTGTCCTTGGACTCAATTTACAGAAACACAGAATTGTCTAGGTTGGAAGAGACCTCAAGATCATTGAGTCTAATCTCTGACCTAACACTAACAAGTCTTCCACTAAACCATATCACTAAACTCAACATCTAAACATCTTTTAAAGACCTCCAGGGACAGTGACTCCACTACTTTCCTGGGCAGCCCATTCCAATGCCTAACAACCCTCTCAGTAAAGAAGTTCTTCCTAATATCCAGCCTAAAACAACCCTGGTGCAACCTTAGCCCATTCCCCCTCCTCCTGTCACCAGGCACGTGGGAGAACACACCAACCCCCGCCTCGCTACAGCCTTCTTTAAGGTACCTGTAGAGAGCGATAAGGTCACCCCTGAGCCTCCTCTTTTGCAGGCTGAACAAGCCCAGCTCCCTCAGCCCCTCCTCGTAAGACTTGTTCTCCAGACCCCTCACCAGCTTTGTCGCCCTTCTCTGGACTCACTCAAGCACCTCCATGTCCTTCTTGTAGCAAGGGGCCCAAAACTTAAAACAGTACTCGAGGTGTGGCCTCACCAGAGCCAAGTACAGGGGGACGATCACTTCCTTAGGACTGCTGGCCACACTGCTTCTTATACAAGCCAGGATGCCGTTGGCCTTCTTGGCCACCTGAGCACACTGCTGGCTCATATTTAGCTGACTATCCACCAATACTCCCAGGTCCTTCTCTGCCAGGCAGCTTTCCAACCACTCATCTCCCAGCCTGTAGCGCTGCTTGGGGTTGTTGCGCCCCAGGTGCAGGACCAGGCACTTGGCCTTGTTGAACTTCATGCAGTTAACCTCAGCCCATTGGTCCAGCCTATCCAGATCCTCCTGTAGAGCCTTCCTACCCTCGAGCAGATTGACACATGCACCTAACTTGGTGTCATCTGCAAACTTACTGAGGGTATGATCCCCTCATCCAGATCATCAATAAAGATGGCTTGCCTCAGTACTGAGCCCCGGGGAACGCCACTAGTGACCGGCCTCCAACTGGATTTGACTCCATTCACCATGACTCTTTGGGCCTGGCTATCCAGCCAGTTTTTAACCTAATGAAGCGTACACCAGTCCAAGCCACAAGCAGCCATTTTCTTGAGGAGAATGCTGTGGGAAGCAGCGTTAAAAGCCTTACTGAAGTCAAGGTAGACCACATCCACAGCCTTTCCCTCATCCACCAAGAACATCACTTTGTCATAGAAGGAGATCAGGTTAGTCAAGCAGGATTTGCCTTTCATAAACCCATGCTGACTGGACCTGATCACCTGGTTGCCTTGTAAGTGCCACATGATGACACTCAAGATAATCTGCTCCATGAGCTTCCCTGGCACGGAGGTCAAACTGGCAGGCCTAGAGTTCCCCAAGTCTACCCTCTAGCCCTTCTTGTGGATGGGCGTCATGTTTGCTATCCGCCAGTCGACTGGGACCTCCCCCGACAACCAGGATAAATGATGGAAAGCAGCTTGGCCAGCTCCTCCGCCAGTTCTCTCAGTATCCTTGGGTAGATCCCATCTGGCCCCATCGACTTGCGTACATCCAAGTGCCGTAGCAGGTCGCCAACCATTTCCTCATGGATAGCGAGGGCCACATTCTGCTCCCATCATCGCCTTCCACCAGCTCAGGGTACTGGGTATCCAGAGAACAACTGTTTTTGCCGCTAAAGACTGAGACAAAGAAGGCATTAAGCACCTCTGCCTTTTCCTCATCTTTTGTAACTAATTTTCCCCCACATCAGAAAAGGATGGAGATTCTCCTTAGTCCTCCATTTTGCGTTGATGTATTTGTAAAAACATTTTTTTGGTCTTTAACGGCAGTAGCCAGATTGAGCTCCAGATGAGCTTTGGCCTTTCTAATTATGTCCCTGCACTGCTTCACAGTATCCTTATAGTTCTCCTGAGTGGCCCGCCCTCTTTTCCGAAGATTATAAACCCTCTTTTTTCTCCTAAGCTCAAGCCACAATTCTCTGTTCAGCCAGGCTGGTCTTCTTCCACTCCAGCTCATCTTTGGGCACGTGGGGACAGACAGCTTCTGCAACATTTAGATTTCCTTCTTGAAGAGTGCCCAGCCTTCCTGGACTCCTCTGCCCTTCCGAACCACCTCCCAAGGGACTCTGCCAACCATTGTCCTGAACAGTTCAAAGTCGGCCCTCCAGAAGTCCAATACAGCAGTTTTACTGGTCCCCTTCCTGGTTTCTCCAAGAATGGAGAACTCTACCATTTTGTGGTCACTCTGCCCCAAACAGTTTCCAACTACCACATCTCCCACCAGTCCTTCTCTCTTTGTGAACAGCAGGTCTAGCAGGGCACCTCCCCTGGTAGGCTCACTGACCAGCTGCGTCAGAAAGCTATCTTCCACGCTCTCCAGAAACCTCCTAGACTGCTTTCTCTGGGCTGTGTTGTGCTTCCAGGATATGTCTGGGAAGTTGAAGCCCCCCATGAGAACAAGCACTGACAATTTCTCAACTTCTGTCAGCTGCCTGTAGAACTCCTCATCAGTCTCCTCATCCTGATTCGGCGGTCTATAGCAGACCTCCACCAGGACGCTAGCCTTGTTGGCCTTCCTGCTGATCCTAACCCATAGGGACTCAACCTTATCATTCCCAGCCTCAAGTTCCATGACATCAAAACTCTCTCTGATATAGAATAGATGTATGGAATATATAGAATTTAAATGTACGCTGTTCATTTTCACAAATGTGCTTATATGTGCTTCTGTATGCAACTTGCATTTGGACTGGGATCTACCACCTTCTGTTGGATATTTGCAAGATTATGATTTGCTGAACAGGAGGTCAATGGTTAAGTTTTTTGGTTAAGTGAATTTCTGTTTGCTGCATATGTCATTCTGAGACAATTTTGGCAGTGTGTTTTTGTATGTTCTTTACCTTGAGGGTTCCCAATGGAAAATAAATAAATAAATAAATAAAACAGACCTGAACATAATTAATAGAGAAGAACAGTAACAGCTTTGAAGATATCTTCTGGAAATATGTTTCAAATATAAGGGTTCCTTCAGGAGGAAATGTGAAGATAGTTTTGGGGATAAGCAAACTCAAAACTAGAATCATTCAGGTTGGAAAAGACCTCCAAGACCATCTGGTCCAACCATCTCCCTACCACCAATACCACCCACTAAACCATGTCCCTAATAGGGTCAAAGTTGACTGTGCTGCCAAAACAAAGTGGATTAGAAAGCTGCCTTAAAGCAGAGTAAGTAAGTGGAACATGTCAAAGCTGTGAAGAGAAACAAAAAGAGAAGAACAAGGAGTTTCTTCTTTATGTACATGACAGACTTGGAGTGTGGAGCCACACATTTCAAACAGCAGGCTGTTTTTCCAAGCAGGCAGTGAGTTAAACGCTTAAATCCATGCAATGTGAAAGATGATGTGAAGACTTCCACTTTCTACAAATCACTAAATCTGCAAGGTTTTGGATAATCTGCAGTTACTGTTTTGGTCATTCTGTTTAAGTTTAGAAAAAAACGTTTAATAGAAACATTTTTGTGATTTTTTGGCTGAAAAGACAGAGCCCATTATGATCTTTTTCATGAGTGTATTACACTAGCAACTACATATCTTATATATCATATCTTAGCTATGAAGAACTTATCATATCTTAGCTATGAAGAACATCTTATTTTTCTCTCCAGGAAAGTTCACATTACAAAGACCACCTTAGAGTGCCTAAATGGGGACTACGAAGTAGAACCAGGATATGGACATGAAAGGAATAGTTTCTTGAAGAAACATAATATTGAAACATATTTCATTGTGCCATCCCATCGGAGGAAGGTAGGCTCCACAAATTCTAGCTTGTTTTGTGGCATGTTTTTTGTAGTTTAACAACTGTTCTATGATAGTCTGAAACAGAGGCAATACCGGTATTTATTGTTTCTAAAAGCTTTTAAACTCTTGAAATTAGATCTTTTGGTTTTGACTGAGGCAGGAACACTAAAAAAGCTAACCTTGTACATTACCTAGAAAAGAAGATCACTATACTTTTGAAGTTTAAAGTTAAAACAACTTGTCACTTAACCCACAAAAGAGAAAGCTTTTGGTTTATTCAGATTCTGTAATCATTGCATTAGAAGTGATATGGTATGTTAGTCTAAAATGTAATTCATTCCTATCTTCCACTTCCATTCAAAATGATATTTCTGAACATTAATGCTGGCAGCCTGACTATTTTTTCTTGCTCTTTAATACCCATATTTCCATGACATTTTACTCACACACTCCTAACACTTTCTACAACCACTCCTGATAGTAGTGACTCCTTTGGTAGGCCTGGAGTAGTCCCTACTTAATAGATGCAGAAAATAACTATTTACAGACTTGTCATGCCCATAGCAGAAAAGACAGTGAAATGAATTCAGCAGTAACCGAATTAACATTCCCTGGAAATCTGGAAAAGTTGCCATGTTGCCAAGCTGTACAACACGAGCCTGTTTATCTAGGTCAGGAGAAGAGGCTGGAGTCGATCATCCTGCTTTCAAATGTATATATCAGTCTACCGTAGATCAGATATTTATGGTCAAGCTGAGTAAATTTTCTAAGATTATTACAACAAAGAATATATTCTCTGTCCAAAACAGACAAATAGCTCCAGTGTTTTCTCCTGCTAAGCTGAGCTGCTCATGACAAATTCAACATCATTTCCCTTCCTTGCTCTGCCACCTCAGACTCCCACAATGATTTTGGCAATCCCTTTCCTGTCCTGGCTGCCTTTCCTCCTAGATTTTGCCAGGCTCCCCTCTCTTTTCAGTACATTCCTTTTGTCAGACACTCAGAGAAGTTCTGGGAAAAGAGAAGTAAGTCGGCAGTGTTGGAAGCGACAATAATATTTTCTGCACCTTTCTTTCTTTTGGTGGAGAACAGAAAATGGAAAGTGTGGAAAGAGTAAGATTTTAGCTCATTTGAGCAGGAACTTCTTAGATGTTGCTAAGGATTTAGCCACGCCTGATAGAAATGGATGTGACACCTCATTCTAGCCAGATTTTCAGAATAAGGAGAGAGTCCCATCAGTGCAATGGTAATTTCTTGAGTTGCAGTGAAGTTGGTGATAGTTAGTGACCTTCAGGCAGGTTCATTCACAGGCACACCTTTCTTCCTCAACCAGTTACTGAGTGCACCTCAAAAGTAAATGCTGAAAAAACTGTAAATTTCATCTAATTGGTATGTCCCAACAAAAACAACTAAGCGATGATCCTATTTAGGACAGTCTGTTTTTATGCTACAAAATAACTTTTGTGACACCAGTAGGAGTCTTGAAAGTCCCTAATCATAATTTGAGCATGTTCAGTTTGTTCCAAACCTCTCCATATCAAATGATGATTATCTTAAAAGTTATCTGCCCTCACATATGTATTACTCTTTATCTCAGCCGGACAACTCAGAATACAGACTTTTGCAAACATATTTTCCGAGTCTCTGCCCAAACAAGTTTAATTCAGGGATTTGGCCTTTAGAGAGAAATTTTAAAATACAAGTCTCAAAGTACGTACAGACACAAAAAAAGATGAGGTTTTGAAGTGAATTCAAAGCTCCATGCTTGAGGATGTTAGCTAACTTTCCATTAACATGTTTTTGACAAAAATATAACCAGGGAAAAATAGATCATCTTGAATTCCAGGTCAGCAGTCAGGTTCCTGGTCTGAATTTGATTATCTGGAGAGTTTTTCTGGAAAGTCTGGGAGTCAAGCCACCACAGAATTCTGATTCTGATGATGAAAGCTACTGCTGCTTTATACCAGAAGGATTGCTGCAAAGGTGTTTTATTATATGCTTCCTCTAAAGCATCTTGGAGAGATGGAATAAAGTGTAAAGGAGAGATGGAATATCCTTGTCTACTCTGAAAATCACATGATCTCGTGTTTTGTTCTTCTGCTAATCTATATGATTAGACTCCATTTTAGATAGTAGGAAAGAAAATAGGTCGAAAATCCGTGGGCTAAATTCTGTTTTCATTCTCAGTAAGAGGTTTTTGTTGCCTTTCTTGAAACCAGAATTAGTTCCTAAATTAACCAATCTTTCCTCCTTCCAAAAAAAAAAAAGTATGAAAAAGTATGTTGCTGATTGCCACTACATTTGTCTTTTTTTTTTCTGCTGTTTTAACTCCTAGAGCATTATGTATCATTTCATAATACATAAAAAAGGGAGAAAAGGCAGTAAGTGCATCTATTACATGTAGACATGTATTCTCTCTGCTGCACTGACTGAAGAATTTCTAAGAATAGAATCTTGACATTCACATATTAAAGTAAATGAAGCCAATGCATGTTTAATGTGCAAAGATGAGAGCTTACATATGAGCACCCATTCCTTTTTGTTTGCAAGGCTGCTGAGAAGCTGCTGGTGACTGCTGAGAAACAACTCAGTTTGTCATCAGCTACATAAACTGAATGCCATGTTACCCTGGGTGTCACTGATGGATTTGTAGAAGTGACAGATGCTGCAGTACAGCTTGGCTGACATCAGCTCTCTGGCGTGCATCAGTGCAGTGTCAGCCAAATTGGCAGAAAGAAACACTTCATGAATTTTACAGATATAGACAGCCTTCTCCACTGGACTCAAAACAATCAGTGCATCATTTTGCTGTTTGTCATAGTATACTACAGCCATCCCCAGTCTTCGTACACTTGCATTGGACCACAAGATACTAATAAATACCTTTGTAATAGACTATTTAGCTGTAAGATAAACACCTGCTATATCCTCTCCTACCTTGATTCAGTCATTAAACCTTCAGAGATATAGAAACAGAGGACTGGCCCTGAAGCACAGACAAGATCTAGCACCTGTAGGTGAATTCAGAATTCAGGTATCTGCTGGTTTACTATTGTATTCCTTCCCCTGGAGCCTCATTAGCTGAAATGCAAAGACATTTTTCGTTCTTTATGCATCATCTCTGAGATTAATATGAACTGACTGTAGCAGGGATGATTCCAAGAAGAATGAAAATCAATATTATCAGCAACAGATGGCCAAGAATCTGTTGAACGTTAAAGATAAATAATTTTTTTTTTATTAATATTTATTTAGAAGGCACATACCCCACATTTTCCCTTATTTGATGTGCCAGAAAGACAGATCAACTAAGCCAAGAATGAGAACAGTATATGAAAACTCATTCGTGTACCAATTACATTAAAAATGTGAATAAATTATAAAATGTTCCCAATTATTTTAATCATTTATTCAGTCAACTGACAACCAAAATTTTGTGATCTGATATGATTACTAGACTGGTGTATAAGCTAAAACGTGAGAGGAACTTAGAAAAGACCACTGAGAGTATTCTTCTCTTTTTGTTGTATTCAAGTTTTTTATTTTGGTAGATATTATATTAGTCTATTACTGTTACTGTTATTTACTATTTGCTATTATTACTATTATTTATTGTTTATTTTTATTATTTAGCAACAATTATGTTTTACTGGATAACATTCAGCTTCTAAACCCACTTAGTTTATCAGATTTCCAAAGGCATAAAGACTTTTTTTTTAATGAAATTCAAAATTTTGGTCACCTTTATTTAAAATCTTACATAAATATGCTTTTTAAATATATACAAATACAAAATGATATAGCCCAAATAGAAACCAAGTTTCTAGTTCTGAAAAAGCTAACACATTTATTTTAAATGACATCTATTATTTCTTCATATTGCATATAGTTTCTAAGCCATGTAGTGATATGACCAAAATATTGCACTGAGACAAGATTTGAAAAATTAGATTAAAGTAACTAGCCACAAGTCTCAACACATATATGAAAATCCTCATCTGATCTAGTTAGAAAAATTTATCTTTCTGATACATTAAATATTCACAAATCCATACTCTATGCTTTAGATGCATGGATGTTCTTAGTATCATCAAATGTCCTGAATTATAGTAAATATTACTCTGTTTATGGATGTTATTAGAGGGAAAAACAAAACAAACAAACAACAACAACAAACTAGGCCAGATCCTGTCAATCTCAGAGCCCCTTCTGGGAACTTTATACTCATGCTTAGACCCAGCTAAATAATTTTCACTGTCAATTCCTCAGTAATCTTTCTCACTAATCCTGTTCCAGCTTTCAAATTTTGTGCTTGAAATTCAATTTAAATTTCTTTTAACAGAATGGGTCTGTTTTTCAATAGAATTCTTTCTTTTTCATTGGCAGCACCAGCATTAGGCAAAGTATCTTTGCATCAGTTTTATGGCTGGCATAGTAGACTCGCAGATGCTCAGCTCAGTAGCAAGCTTAACTAGTCTACTTCACTAGAACTATTATTCTCCTGCAGTGTAACACCTCCTAAGATTTGCCTATGTCTGCAGTGATAGCCAGGTGGATTTTTCTTAGGCTTACTTACTTATATTTTCTACATTAATTCACTCTCTACCTGTGTCTCTCTAGTTTTGCAAAAACACATTATTTTCTCTAGATGAGAAACCAGCCCAGCCCAGACAATTAAGCACATTTCCTGAGGTACTTCTCTGGATAGCCAAGCAGTGGTAAGAAATTATGAAGTTTTTCTAACGAGAAAGATTTCTCAGAACATGTAATTGTTTCCATTTCCAGAAGTGGGCCTGCCATCACTGTTAGTCATTGCCAGCTTAAGGGAACCTGCTTCACTTGAGTAACTTTGCCAGGTCAATATAACCTTTGCCAGGTCATATTTGCAAATATAAATAATCCCACAGACCATTAATGGTAGGCAATAGAGATGTTTCCAAAAAAAGAGAACTATAAAAATTATGAAAATCATAGATAAAGTCTATAGATACATTTTATAAATGATT